TTCGCTTCACTTTTAGTAATGACTTCAGTTTGATTTCCATCATCAGACTTTGGAGTCAGAGGGTGTGGGTTTGGATCCTGGCTCTGCCACATACGACTTATGTCAAGTTGGGCAAGAGTGGGGCCGTGTTATCTTAGCTTCACGGTGGCTCTCGGTGAGGGAGGACCAGAGGCCCCTAACCCACCCAGAAGCCCTCAGCATCTCACCCTCTCTCTCCAATGCCAGCAAGTCCAGAGAGTACCTTCTCCCCATGTTTGCGCTGGCTGACTAGCACCTTCTCAAGTGAGTTCCTGTGGTTCCCTCTGGGTTGGACCTGTGGACAACAGCGAAAGGGAGAGTGGTTTGTCTTTGTGTTCTGGGAGCCCTTTGAGTGGGGCCATAGTCAGGAGCTCAGCATCATACCAGGCCTCTTACTGGCCTTACTTTCACAGGCTGAACTGGTGTTAGTTTTTTTCTTGGTCACTGGTGGCCAAGCCCCATTTTCTGACCCAACCACATTTGTGGGGTCTATGGCAAACGATTACAACAGCCTCCTAATTGGTCTCCTACCCCAGGCCTCTCTCCTCTCCGGTCTATCCTACAAGTTGCTGCCAAAGTGGTTTTCCTGAAGTGGAGATCTGACCGTATTACTCCCCTACCCTATCAACATCATAGCTCCCTGTTGCTGGAGCGTGAAATATAAATTCCTCAGACAATCGAAGCCCTTCACAACCTGGCCCCAAGCTATTTTCTAACCTTATTTGACATGACTTTCCCTCCTCTTTGCCTGTCCCCTCCGCCCCCCTGGGCCTCAGTCTCCGTGGCCTCGTCCATATTTGTGACAGTTTATGGAGCTTCTCCATTTTTCATCTCCCTTTCTTTGCCGAGGCTGGGATGCCCTTCCTCCTCATCTCTGCCTAATAGAATCCCTCTGGTCCTTTGTGACTTACTCAAGCACCAGTGTCCTCCTTCTCAAACTCCCTGTATACCTGAGCTTAAAAGGGCCAAGGTCTCCCACTGCATCCTGGGCCATCTCCACTCGCCCTGATCGATATCTGGCCCCTGGACCCAGATGGCTCCAGAGGAGAAAGCGAGATTGATGACCTTGCACAGTCCTGCCTCACTTAAATCCAGGTCTTTTGCAAGTCATGGCATCACCTTCCTGATGTCATGGTCCTCTTCAAGAACAAAGGACAAACCACATGACCTGTATACAGCTACTTTTATTTATTTCTTTTCATTGATTCTCTTTCTATTTATTCCTGGTAAACTTAGATATGCTCTTGTCTTCCCCATCAGAATGCAAGTTTTTTGAGAGTAGGGATTGCTTTACTCTTTAGTCATATCCCTAGCACCTAGGACAGCACCTGGCACAGAGTAGGTACTTTGTTGTTCAGTCCGTTCAGTTGTGACTGACTCTTTGTGACCCCACTTAGGGTTTTCTTGGCAGAGGTACTGGAGGGCTTTGCCATTTCCTTCTCCAGCTCATTTCACAGACGAGGAAACTGAGGCAAACGGGGTTAAGTGACATGCCCAGGGTCACACAGCTACTAAGTGTCGAGGCCAGATTTGAACCCAGGAAGATGAGTGTACTATCTAGCTGCCCAGAGAGGTACTTAATAAATGCCTTTTGATTCATTCATCAATTCCTCCACATCTGAGTTACCCTCTTGGTATAGTGGTACCTTTGGAATTGAGACCCTACCTTGTTCTCTCCTCCTGGGAACTGCAGTTCTCCTGTCCTCCAGGCTTGACCCTCACTGCCTGCTGCCAGGCCTTCTTGAGGGCAGCACCCCCTTAGGGCCTGCTGCCAGCCTGCCTCTGCTATACATACTGTCTGTGGGCTCTGCTGGGATATCACAGATAATTTAAAATAGAAACTGATAGGATTAGAAAATACCGTTCTTTAGGAAGAAACACAAATTATCGTTAACTACCAGAAAGATGGTCCAAATTCTTCCCAAATCCGAGAAATGCCAATTCCAACAATTCTGTGTCACTTTATCTCTATCATGGTTGGCAAAGAGAGTTAAAAACAATTTAAAAAATCAGCTTTGGTGGGGCAAGGCCATAGAGTCAGTCAATTATACCAGCATTTATTAAGTGCCTATGTATACCAGATACTGTTTTTGGAGGTTGGTGATACAAAGATGAAAAACAAATGACCCAGTCCCTGGCCTCAAGGGGCTTCCATTCGTGTGTGTGTGTGTGTTTCTGTGGAATGAACGGAGAGAGGTAACCCACAAGGCAGAGTGGCAGGAGCTAAGCACTTGAGGACAGTTTCGAGCCGTGGAGGTGACAGCATCCTAGCTGAACCTCGAAGGCTGAAGGGTGAATTGCACTTGAAGAGGAGCTGGAGCCAGATGGGGCTGATGGAGCTGTTGGAGCCGTCGGGGTTGGATGGGTTTGCCTTTTACTGGAGGAGTAATTAGGGAAATACTGACAGTTCTTGTGTCTCAGGACCATCATTTGGGCAGTGCTGTGGAGGATGGATTGGAGTGAGAAGAGACCAAAGAGATGAGAGCGATACTCTATGGCTACCACTAGGTGGCACCATAGTGCACAGAGCCCTGAGCCTGGAGGCAGCAGCAAGACCCCTCTTCTTGAGTTCAAATCCAGCCTCAGACTTTTTAATAGCTGTGTGACCCTGGGCAGGTCACTTCACTCTGTTTGCCTCAGTTTCCTCATCTGCAAAATGAGCTGGAGAAGGAAATGGCCAACGACTCCATTGTCTTTGCCAAGAAAACCCCAAATCGGGTCGGAAAGAGGTGGGCGTGACAGAACGACAAGAGTGAGGAGAGCTTGCACTGGCCAGGCTGCTGGGCGAGCCTAGCGAGAAGGGGATCGGTGTGAGGGATGTTGGGGAGGCAGAATACATGAGACCTGATACCCATTTGGATATGTGGGAGTGAGGGGGAGAGGGCAGAGTCAAAGGTGAAACTGAGAATTGGTGCCGTCTGTCTGGGGACAAGAAATAATAGGAAAATTCATACATTCTAAGAGCTGTGAGAGTGGCCATTCACTTTTCTCCCGAGACATTTTCTTATGAGCCACTATACCTTTTTCCCTCTTCCCCCTCCAGTTCTGGAAAAGGAATCAGAACATTGGTACTCAGAACATTGGTGTGCAGATCTCCTCCTGTGTACATCCCCTCACTTTCCAAACCAAAACTTCCCCTCCTTCTGGGCCAGTGCTCTGCGTTTTGTGCTGTCTCCCCTATCTGAATGGAAGCTTCTTGAGGGTCGGGATGGTTTTTTGAAATATACTTGTGTCTGCACCTTGTTCTGCCCCTTCTCCTCCCGAGCTAGACTAGAAGGATCTTCTTTTTGTGGGTAGAATGGCAGCTCCTGGAGGGCAGAGGTGTTTTATTTTTTGTCTTGTGCAGTGCCCACACCTAGGAGCCATTGAATAAATGTTTACCGATTCACGGTTGATTCCTGAGATGAGGGACGCTTTCATTTTTGTATCCCTCCTGCCTTGCACTCTGCTTTACGCATTTTGGTCTGGACTCAGGGATTTCCTGGTGTGGAAACTCCTCCCCCAGTGCAGATAGACAACTTGTCTGCAGTTTAGAGAGCTGCCTGAATTAGCCATTTTCTTGTGATCTCAGGGTCAGAGATTTAGAGCTGGAAGGGAATCAAGAACCTTCTGTGTGCCAGGCATTGTTCTAGGTACCCGGGATACACAGGCAGATAGGAAGCAGCCTGTGCTCCCTGGGTAGTTGCGTTCTATGGGGGAAGCAATCCAGACACATATTAGTCTATTCTCAAAGTATATCCAGTGTAAATCCCCGGTCATTTAGAGGCTTGGAGGGAGGCACTGGATGCTGGGGGCCGGGCCGGGACTCCAAGGCCAGGCCTCTCTCCACCACCCTGGCTGCCTCACTCTACTGAGTGTGTCCTATCTGTCCCAGACAGAGATCGCCACAGCCCATCGGCCCCCAATCGTTTTGTGCCCCAGGATCCTTTTAATGTTCCGGTAGTCTGTTGCCTACATTATAATGGCAGGAAATGCCAAATGTCAGTTAGAGGCTAGTGAGATGAAAGATGTCATTTCTCCCCCTCCCCCGCCCAATCTAAGGTCCCAGACCCCCTGGACTCTAGCAGGTTAAGAGCCCCATCCTAGACTCTCACCAGTAAAAGATGGGCAGCCACCCTGGCAGTCCCCGCCCACCTTCTTCTCTGTTCCTCCCAAGTTCGTGGGTTCAACCACCAAACAAATGTAACCAAGGACGGGAAGGATAAGGGACCTCCCCGGAGCCTGGGACTTTGGGGGGGCCTTTTTGAGTCTACTTCCAGCCATACGGAAGAGGGGTGCCTGCGGCTGGAAAGCGCTTGGGGAGGGAAGAGGCCTCTCCTAGGAGGGTCGAGGAGGGTTTCCCCGGGCCAGGGCTTAGGTCCCGCCCCAGGTACTGATCCGACACCCCCCTGCCTGATCTCCCCCTGGGGTCAAGCTGGCCAGAGCGCGGGGCAGGGCGCGGCCGCGGCCCGCAGGGGGCACTGTGGCTCAGGCTTTGTGGCTGGACGGGCCGGCCCGGCGGGCCCCCCCTCGCAGCCCTCGCGGGGGGAGCAGGGGGCGGGAGGCGGGAGGTGGGAGGCTCGTAGGCAGGCAGCGGGCCGGAGAGCCCCAGAGAGCGCAGAGTCCGCTCCCGAGCCCCGCTGGGGGGATCACCGAGCTGGGCTGGGGCTTCCTCTCGGGGACCGAGGGACACTCCTACCCGCGGCCCCCACCCTAGCACCCTGCCGCCCACCCCCACGGCTGGGGGGCGCGCGTGGGCGCGCGCACACACACACACACACACACACACACACACACACACACGCACACGCGCGCGCGCTCACACTCACCCATAGCTGCACGCCCAGGGCGATCACCCTTTCAGCCCCAGTCCAGACCAGCCCGGCCCAGCCCGGTCCGAAGAGGGAGCGTGCACCGGGTGGCCGCCCGGCAGGACAGACGCGCGGAAGGGGGCTCGCTCGCCTGGGATCCCCGGGCTCTGGCTGGGGCGCGGGGGCTGCGGGATGCGGGCTGGCGTCCGCCGGGGCCCCGGGGGGCTACGGGCACTGCTCGCGGCGCTCGGGGCGGTGGCGCTGGCGCTGGCGCTCGGGGCGTCCGCCTATAACCTGGCCCCGGAGCACGCCGTGCTCTACCAGGGGCCCGCCGGCTCCTTCTTCGGCTACGCGGTGCTGGAGCACTTCTATGACAACACCCGCTGGTGAGTGCCCCTAGACCCCCGCACCCCACCACCCCCGATTGGGCTGCGGGCCGCCTTCCCTGCATCCCACAGACCGCCCCATCCTGCCTCAGGAGCCTCTGCCCCGCAGCCTGCCCCATCCTGCCCCCGCCGCCCCCCATCTCGAAGCCCCCCATCACGCCCCAGCCTCCTCCCGCCTCCAAGCCGGGCTCAGTCCCAGCCTCCGGGAGGAGCCTGAAGCCACGGCGGGGCGGCCTCTCCGGGCTGGAGATTTAAATGTTTGCGCTCTCCCTTCCGAACGGGTCTAGAAAGGGGCTAGCACAGACCTGCGAGGGTAGGACTGAGGGCGGCGGGGCGCTGGAGGCCCCTGGCCCGGGACGGAGTCCCGTTCTCGCCAGCTGATGCGGGCCTGGGAGGAGGCTAACAGCCCCCGTTTCCCTACTAGGCCCGGCAAGCAAACTCTCCGGGAAAGGCGGCCCCCCTCCCTTCCCGTCCCCCCTTAGTGCCAAAGCTGCCCAGAGTCCTTGTTCCCGGCCAGGGCCAGCGACTTGGTCGTGGGGAGACAGCCCCAGCGCAGGGAAAACTTTCAGCCTGGAAGTGGTGAGGCCGGGGCTCTCTCTCCCTGAGAGGGTCAGCCAGCAGAGGCTGGCCAGGGGCTCGGGCAGCTGGAAGTCAGAGGCTCCTCATCTGAGGGAGCTCTCCAGGTATCAGCAGCAAGTTCAGAGGACCCTAGTCGAGAGGGGAGGGACTTCAGACTACATTGAATCCAGCGCCTTCATTTTACAGGCGAGGAAACTGAGGCCCAGCCAGGTTGAGTGCCTTTGCGGGGTCACACAGCTAGTGTCTCAGGCGGGATTTGAATTGAGATCTTGCAGAGGGGATGCTCCTTCAGGTAGGGGTCAGACTAGACGGTGTCTGGGGTCCCTCCCCACTCCGGTTCCTTCTCATTGTTCTCCCCCTCCAGCCGTCCCCCATGCAGGCTTGTTTGGGTGCTGTGTAGCCCCTTGCATTGCCGGGGTTGGCAGATGTGGCCCCTAGAGCCTTTTGGGGTTGTTTCTTGAGCTCGGGGCATCTCCTTCTGTCCTCCTGACTCTCGAGTGAGGTTGACTCCTTTTGTCAGGCAGGGTGATTTGGATACCATGCACCGACCAGGTCGGATCCCACAGCCCCTCAAAGACAAGGAAGTCCATCCTGCCAGGGGAGGAGGGCTTGGAGAAAGCCCTGCTGTCTGGATTATGGGGAAGGGGCCCTTAAGTCCCAACCCATCACAGCCCTTTGGTGCTAGAGGGAGGACAGGGCTGCTATCAGGGGCACGGAGACCAACTAGGCTGAAGCCAGCCAAGGGAGTGGGCATTTGTGAAGGGTCAGGGGCTTCCCAGAGATCCTGGGGAAGGTAAGGAGGGTCTTGTAGAACCCAGCATCAGGAGAATCATAGCATTTCCATGCTGGAAGGGACTGTAGGGCAGAGCCTGCTTCTCTGTAGGGGGGTGAGCCTTCTCCCCAGATCATAGAGCTGGAAGAACATAGGAGACCGTGTCCTCATACATCCACACTGGAGCTTGCTCACCTCTCCAGCCTCCCAGCATTTAGATAGGCTGTGGGGGGAGGGCAGGGTGGGGCAGTAGGTAGCCTGCTGCCTCCTGGGCTGCCCACTCCACTTTGGGCCTTCTGCAATTGTTAGGAACTTTTTTTTTTTTTTTTGGCGACATCTCACCCAACTGACTCTTTGGGACCCTCAGCCATTGCTCCTCATTTTCCTCTCTGGGCCCAAGCAGAACCAGGCTAGTTCCTCTCTCATGTGACAGATAGAAAGATGACCCATTTGGCTCTTGAAGACTGCCCTCATAATCTCCCTCCCTGGAGCTTTTCTCCTGCAGGCTCAGTGCTCTTAGTCCCTTCAGCAGTTTTTTGTGGGATTGGCAGAGGCTAGCCCCCTCACCCTCTGGGTTCGCCTTCTCTGGTTTAGCTTGACAGGGCCCTTCTTCCAACGTGATGTCCAGAGCTAAATTTGTCTGCCAGGTGAGGCCCGACCAGAGCAGAGAAGAGCAGAGCCTGCCCTCTCCTTTTTCCTTCTCCTGGCTCCTGTGATCCTCTCTCAGTATAGCCCCAACACAAATCAGCCTTCTTTGGAATGGGCTGGGAAGGGGGAAGGGAAGGGGAGGCATTGTGGGCTAATAGTCAGCTGGTGGTCCAGTAACCCCCAGCTCTTTCTCAAGTGGTCCACTATTGGCTCTGCCTTCCTCTCCCCCGTTTTGTACTTGTGAAGTTGGGTTTTTGGTCCCACTTATAAGACTTTCCATTATGTCTAGTTAAATTTATCTTGCTCTTATGTGGCCCCCTGGCCTCGCCCAGCAGTTCTCAAAGGGCGTCGCTGAGACCCATTCAAGAGGTCTACAAGGTCAAAAGTATTTCCATCATAATACTAAGACATGTTAATTTCTAATATAATAAATATTGACAGCTACAACCCACAGAAACAAAAGCTCTCTAAGGAGGAGTCCTCAGTCGTTTTTAGCAGTGTGAAAGGGTCCTGAGACCAGAACGTTTGAGAACTGTGGGCCTGGCCTGTTGAGGTATTGCTGGATCCTGCTCATCAGCACCTGCTGATCCCGTCCCGTCTTTGTGCCATCCGCAGCTGGGACATATGTGACTTCCAGGTTCCCATCCAAGTCACTGATAAATAGAGAGAAGGGCTGCAGCTGAGACTGTTACTGGGGATGCCGTGGGGCGGGTCTCTCCATGTGCCCCTCCGGCTCTGCCAACAAGCAGGTGGCCGTAAAGGCTGTTGAAAGCCCCACCTGTTGAGTTGCCAAGCCTCCTGAACGAAAGAGAACTGGGAAAAAGCCCAACGAAGCAAAGAGCAACAAACCTGGTTCCTCCTGGACAGTCCTGGGCAAGAGGAGACTTGGAAGGCTTCTTGAAGTGCTGGCTTGTGCCCTGCAGTCTTTCCTGGTTTAGAGTCCAGCAGGGCGGTACCTGGGGCTTCACCTGCTCCTCCTGCGAGGCCCCTGGAGGGCCCCCTAGTGCAGCCAAGCCTCTGTGTAGAATAGATAGCATGGCATGGGGGGCTGGAGAGTGCCTCGAACGCGGTGGCTGTGTGACTCAGAATGAGTCACTTAACCTCTCTGAGTCCCATTTCTCTATAAAATGGGGGTGATAATACCCTGGCAGGATGGACTTCCTTGTCTTTGAGGGGCTGTGGGCTCCGACCTGGTCTGTAAGGTATTATCACCTTACAGGGGTATTGTGAGGATAAAAATGTACCTAAAATACTTTGCAAACCTTTCAGTTTTATGTGTCAGCTGCAATTCTTTTTTTTTTTTTTTTTTTTTTTTTGGCAATTGGGGTTAAGTGACTTGCCCAGGGTCACACAGCTAATAAATGTCAAGTGTTTGGTCTAAGGCTGGATTTGAATTCAGGTCCTCCTGACTTCAGGGCCGGTGCTCTGTCCACTGCACCACCTAGCTGTCCCTGTCAGCTGTCATTCTTGAGAGGCCACTTGGAGTCAGAAAGAATAGAGTTCAAATGCCACCTCTGACAAATACTGTTCATGTGACCCAGGCCAACTCCCTTAACCTCTAAGTTCTCCCGGAAAAGCTTGAAGACTCCAAGGAAGTAGCAGGAGCCAGTCTGCTTTGGGGGAGAGTGTTTCCTCCTTGGGAGTTCCTTAGCTGAGGCAGCATCTCTTCCCAGGCTTCAGGAGAAGCCCAGTGGCCTTATTCACCGCCATCCCTGGGACAAAGGGATGGTGGTCTGAACTGGATGCAGGCTGATAGAATGAGTTGGTTTGGAGAACTGAGGCCTCCAATATTCTTGGAACAAGAAGGGATGTGTAGACAGCCAGAGAACTGACAGAGCTGCTGTGTCCTGAAGCAGAAGGCCTGGGCCCAGTGGGACCAGCTTCCAACTCTTCTGTCCAATTGTACATGCTCTGGGCCTTGGTCATGTGCTGGTTGGCTCTGAACAAGGCAGCCTCTGGCTTGCCCGCCCAACCCATTAGGCTGTTAGGCCCTTTGTCTTCTTCTAATGAGACTGTCTGTCTGCTGCCTCAGTCTCTGGTGTGTGTGTGTGTGTGTGTGTGTGTGTGTGTGTGTGTGTGTGTGTGAGTCTGTTTGGGCTTTGAATCTGTTAAATGGAAAATGGAGCCGAGGTGGGTAGGAGACCATTCCTCCATCCTCGAGTGTGGCGCACTGTCCTCGGCCCAGGCTCCCAAATGGAGGCTGCAGCTGTCCTATGTGTTTGAGAATGAAATAGCAGAGCACCTAGGCATGAAGGGTGGACTAGATAGAGGGCTGGTCTGGGGGTTCAAATCCTGCCTCAGGGCTTTGCTAGCTGCGTGACCTGAATAAAGAACTTCACCCCTTTCAGCTTCAATTCTTCATCTGTAAAATTGGGGTGGTGATAGCAGCAAGGTTGTTAGTCAATCAACAAACATTTGTTAAGTGCCTATTATGTGCCAGGCATTGTGCAAAAACAGTCCCTGCCCACAAGGAGCTCACAGTGCAGTGGGGAAGAGCATTCCAGCCTGGGGGACTGCCTGAGAAAATGCTCACATTCAGGCAGGGAACATGGAGGAAGCCGGTGTCACCAAGTACCAGAATGCATGGTGGCGGCGGCCAGGGAGGGGTAAGAAGACTGGGAAGGTGTGTGTGTGAGGTTTCTGAGAGGCTTTGAGCCTGGAGGTAATAGGGAGCCACTGGAGTTGTTTGATGGGACAGAGGGGACATGGTCAGCCTTGGGCTTTTGGGAGTCAGTCTGGGGTGGGGAGGGAAGACCCAGCCCATAGAAACCACGTTGCAGCTGGCCCTGCGGTGTCCAGACTAGCCCTTCAGGAGGCTGTCCAAATTGCTTCTTTCAGAAAGCCCATCCAAGAAGGACCTCCTTGTATTGTCTTTTATCTTGTCCAGTAGACTGACTGCTCCTTGAAGGCAGGAATTACTCTGTTTAGGTTTCATATTCTCAGAGCCTTGCATGACAAATGGCACATTTAAAAATGCTTGTGGACTGATTCACACATTTTA